TTTTAGAGACAGCTCTTCATGGCTCTCACATTACGTTGATGCAAAAGAGACCTCGCGCACAGAAATGACCGAGACCAAATGGTATAAAAGGGAAGAAGACAATTCCTCAGAAGGTTGGGCTGCACATTTGTTATATTAATAAAGACTAGTCAGTTTGTAGTTAGTTATTGTTGTGATACATTTTCATGAAATAGATCCATCACTGTTACTTACTTTACTTTGACTTTATTCAGTGTTCAGACATGATGTTCAGAACCTGAAAGCTCATACTCGTGACACCTCCCTGAAGGAACCCGATTCATGCAGATTTTTTGTGCCTGTGCTTAGGGACCTAACAGGAATAAGGTGAACTTCTCCATTATCCTCTTAATTCTGTAATTTATTATTTCTGTTAAATAGTATGATAATAATACAAGCATTGTTCATTTAAACCCTGCTCTCTCCTTTTTCAATTTCCTCAGAAAAAGCAACGACAAAAGACACGGGGGTATTTTACCTTCATCCCCCATGAGAGAGCAACTTCCACGTCCACAGAGTGACACAGTCAGCGTGCTTCAGGCTAAGAACATTAGGCTCTATCACTTTGGAGAAGAAAGCCATACAACTGTGACTCCACAAGAAGTAATGGTCAAAAGGACATCACAGTCAGCCTTGCACAAGCGAAAACCTCTAATCTGAGAAGTACACACTTAATTTATTCAAGTCAGTGATGGAATTTTTTTTATTTTTTACTTCAACAGTTGTTTACAAAAGAAACCATAGAAAAAAAATACTCAGTATGGATCAGAGGGAAGGGAAAACTCCAGGAATAGTTAAAAATGCCTCTTATTAAACATGAAATAAATAAATAGACTCTGAATTTAATCACTTTTGTTCCTTTTTGCTAAATGTTAATGGCCCTGATAAAGACCTGATTTATGGCTGAAAAATCTTCATCTTTGGATCTTTCTAACAAACGACAAAGGATTCACATCATGTTCATGTTTTTTTTAATGCAAAATGTGAAAACATATTAATAAAATAAATGTTAATAAAATACAAAAAATATATGTTAAAAATCCCCTATTTTCAATAACGGATCTTGAGTATCAGCTACCCCATGCAGCATGTCTAAGACAAAATGTGACAGTTTCTTGTTGTCAGCCTGTGACCCTGGAGATGTGAGCAGAGGTTTTGCCCAGATGTGTCCAGATGTGGACGTCAGAGTTTGAGAAGTCAGTCAAACTGTCGCAGATGAAATTGGTTTTCTGTGTGTCTGACCACGTCGCGGAGCGCGACAAAACCAGAAATGGCCTGGGAGCATTCAGGGATAAAATCCGTGTTAATAAATGTAGCTATGAAATTCTGAAAATGTTGACAATGCAACTTACCATACCTGTGTGAGTATGAATAAGGCAAGGACGATGTGAACACCTCTCTCCAGGGGCTGAACGAGGATGGCTTCATTAAAGAGCTGAAACAGGATTAATGGAAACTGCAGCAGGACGCTCAAGAGCCAAAATCCAGCCAGCTCTGGGACCTTCAACAAACACAGTCATTTGACAAGTTTCCATCTCTGCTGTCCACTCACTGGGTTTCTTTACATATAATTATGCAAATATCCTTATTTCATATGTGAATGTATAAATGCACCTTTTGCTGCAAGTTCCCGGCATAACCAAGGTAGAGTCGAATAGCCTCGATCAGCGTCATCAGGATAAGAATAGTAACAAGGATGATTTTGTAGTAGTCTGACAAAGCAGGATACTGGTGGAAATAACAAGCCAAACAACACAGTTTATAGTCTAACACTAAAACTTGTATCCACTTTGTAATGTTTTTTTTAAAAAATGTTACACTCTGAGATAAACTTATGCAAATTTCCTGTTGCATATTCAGATTTACTTTTTTAAAATAATAAGTATCAAAAAAGTCAGATATTACTGTTTTGGGATTTTATGTCCAGCTGAAAACACTCAAAAAATATTTACGTGTTGACTTTAAAGCAACTGAAATATAAAAATTTTGCAAAGTGCCAAATGTGTCTCAAATGCTAAATCTTGTTCATTCTTTCACATCCTTGCTTTTAAACGTATGATGTGATTTTTTTTTCTGCTCCTCTTCATAAGCACTTGTGTATTTTGGAATGTTTTTATTGGTAAGATTACAGTTTCCTTACAAACTGGGACAAAGTCTATGTTTTTGAAGAAAAAAAAACGTGGCACACAGTACTACTAAAAGGTCAAATACATTTAACATATTTTTAACCGAATGTGATTTTTGCTAAATAACTACACTGAGTATAAAAGGAAGCCAAGGTTTGTAATTTTTGATACATGATAGTCTTCTTGCTATCATGTATTCTCCTTTTTGTCTCAATAACCTTTAAAATTGGTATTTACTGTTATTTCAGTTGCTGTTTTGTCCAGTAACTATTTATGGCTCAAGATTGTGGCTCAAGAGTTGGCAGTTCGTCTTGTAATCGGAAGGCCCCGGCTCGGACAGTCTCGGTTGTTGTGTCCTTGGGCAAGACACTTCGCCTACTGGTGATGGCCAGAGGGGCCGATGGCGCGATATGGCAGCCTCGCTTCTATCAGTCTGCCCCAGGGCAGCTGTGGCTACAACTGTAGCTGCCTCCACCAGTGTGTTAATGTGAGAGTGAATGAATAGTGGAATTGTAAAGCGCTTTGAGGGTCTCGAAAAGCGCTCTATAAATGCAATCCATTATTATTATTCATTATTATTATGTTTCAGTGGTGAGCTACATGTTTTATGTGGTGCTCACAAATAATTAACAAAAAACACTAAAACAAAATCTGAGCACCCACTTGAAAGTTTTCCAGGATTTACTGCAGCTTCATTCCCTTTAATTTGTGCCCACGTTCATTGTATCCCACAAACATTTGTGTACCTTAGGGGCTTTAATTTAGTACCTCGGGCACAGGGTAGGTTACAGAAGACATTCGACATGTTAACCTGGGAGACCTTCAGGCACCTGTGGAGTTTCCAGCATGACAGGATGGAGCACCATGTCACAAGGGAAAAAGTAATAACTAAGTGGCCTGGTGATCATCAAATTCACACTTTGGATCCATGGCCAGGAAACTATGCAGCAGATGGTAGAGTAGTTAGCATTGTTGGTTCACAGGAAGAAGGTCCTGTGTGGACTTTGCATGATCCCCCTGTGTTTGTGTGGGTTCTCTCTGGGTACCACCAACAGTCAAAACACATGCAGTTAGTGAGGTTAGGTTATTTATTGAATCTAAATCGACTGTAGCTGTGAATGGTTGTCTGTCTTTCTTTGTTAGTCCAGTGACACACTGGCGACCTTTACAGGGTGGACCCCTGATGCTGAAATCCAGCATACCACAGAAAGGTGCATAACAGTCTAAATAAGAGTGGAAAGGGTCAAGACTGTAAACCAGAATTATGTTGGCATAATACCTTAAGCTGCAGCATTACAGTTTCACTGATCCACCACCAGGGGAAGAACCACATGTTAAAGTACAGAGACATCTGGAGCTGGAGGCTTGAAAGAACTCGATTGTCTGAAAACAAATACAAACAGCAGAACATGCACGAACCGAATAAGCAACCTAAGTGCAAATAAACTACTGGAAAGCTTAGTTTGAGTAAACAACAGCCATTAGTGCAGCTACATCAATGCTAACACCAATGCTAATTCATCAGTAACGTTAGCTGCATTCACCGTGTGCCAAAAACGCGTCGCGGTCTTTAGAGGAAGACTCCGTCCGACTCTGGTCAAACAAAACGTTGCGAGAAAAGTCTTCTAAATGTTTTCTAAGTGTCTCTGGGAGCTCCATGGTCCGCTAAATAAAAACATTACAAGAGGAAAATCACTCCGCCTCTTCCTCACTGAGAAACTGAACGCCGTTGTCGTTTCCATGGCTACCAGGGAAATCTCGCGTTCTGTGTTTAAATCTCGCATGGAATATGTTCTTTGTATTTAACCAGAGACCTTTCCTCTTAGTGCTTTTATTAAATAGCGCATCTACCTACAATATATTAATACATCACGGTGGTAAGTAAGTAAGTAAATAAATTATTTATAAATAAATATTAATAATGAACTTTATATTTGAGGAAAAAAATGTCTAACATTTAAAAAAAAATAAAAATAAATAATCGAAAAGTAGCTCTGCAGATTTATACGTGGAGCTACATTAGCTTTAGATTTTTGGACGTGTTTGGACAGACTATTAAATCACTTGCACTTTTGTTTCTATTGAAAGTGAAAGTTACAGATGTGGAACGAAGATGGCCGAGAGCTGTGAAGTACTACATTCCTTCTCCTGCTCCATATGCCTGGATGTTTTGAAGAATCCTGTGACTCTTCACTGTGGCCACAGCTACTGTATGGACTGTATAAATGGCTGCTTCGACCAGGAGCATCAGAGTGGTATTTACAGCTGCCCACAGTGCAGACACACTTTCAACCCAAGACCCGTCCTCAAGAAAAACACAGTGCTGGTTGATTTGATGGTAAAAATGTCTGTGAGAGAACAATCCAACATGCGAGTGAAGGATGAAGCAGGACCAGGGGACGTGGAGTGTGATTTCTGCACTGTGACGAAGCTGAAAGCTGTTAAGTCTTGCCTGGTATGTCTGGCATCTTACTGTGCCACTCACTTGCAACCTCACTATAAGTCTGCTGCGTTTAAGAGGCACAAGTTGGTCGAAGTGTCAGCTTCCATACAAGAGAAGATCTGCTCCAAGCACGACAAGCTACTCGAAGTCTACTGTCGCAGTGATGGGCAGTGCGTTTGTCTCCTTTGTGTGATGGACGAACATAAAGGCCATGACACTGTCTCGGCTGCAGCAGAGAGAAAAAAGAAGCAGGTAATAATATAGTTGTAGACTTCCAACCATCATCCATGCTGCTGTGAATTTCAATTTAAAGTTACTGCTAGAGCTTCTGTTATAGCAGTCATAGGGTTTTAAGGGACTTTTTATATTCAGCTGTATTTCTGTAATTTATCATTTCTAAAGTTTTAAACTTTGATGATTTTGTAATGATGACTTTTAGAAACAACTTGGAAAGAAGAAACAAATAATCCAGCAAGGCATTCAAGAAAAAGACAAGCAGCTCCGGCAACTAAGACAGAAAACTAAAGGACTGAAGGTGAAGTTTTGAATCTGTGTTATGTAATGTAAAGTTTTCCTTAAAAATCTGTTTCTGCAAAGTAACCAGCATTGCTCCTTTATGTCCTCTTGTCCTATTCTTGCGAAGGTTTTTTGTTACCTCAAAGGAAAAAAAGTGTAATCAAGAATAAATTTGCCACTTCCAAAACATCATGTAAATTCTTAACAAGATAAAATTATGAGGTTGTCTAGAAATTAAATGAAATTAATTAAATTAAGCCCTTAAACCAACAACTGTGAGATGTTAAATGGAATTTTTTTACTGCTCAGGCTTCAAGTGATGCAGCAGTTGCTCAGAATGAGAAAGCCTATGCTGAGATTGTTCTGAAGGCAGACAAAAGGCGCTATGCCGTGAACGATCTGATCAGAGATCAGGAGAAGGCCGCGTTGAGTCGCGCTGGGGAGCTTGTGGATCGGCTGGAGAAGGAAATCAGTGAGCTGAGGAAGCGAGAGGACCAACTGAAGCAGCTGTCGCTCACTGAAGATCACATTAATTTCCTGCAGGTACGCAAACAGTCAAATACGTGGATCATGTTGTGTGCAGGGCAGCAGTTAATGATGTGTTTTGCATGTTTACAGCACTGCCAGGCCATTTTTGACTGTACAGACCCTGATCTGTCTTCTGATGTGAACATCCAACTGCACACACCTTTCGACTTTGTCACAAAAGCTATTTCTGACCTAAAAGACAAAATGGAAAGCGTGGCCAAGAGCATTGCGCAAATATCTGAGACAAGTAAGATGAGAAGTTAGCTAAAATAATGCTTAGTAAAATCATGCTAATCATTTTTAATTAAATAGAACAGGAAGTGCTACTTTCAATAATATCATGTTTTGTACTTTTAGTTGAAGTTGATCCTGATCCCAAGACAAGAGAGGAGTTTTCTATGTGTGAGTCATTTGTTTAGTGTACATATTTTTATTCCGTTTCTGTGCTTTCCGTTACTTTGATTTCCTTGAGTTAATATTTCCTGACATTGTACTTTTCAGATTCCTGCTGCATAACATTGGATCCCAACACAGCATTTGAAAACCTGTTGCTCTCTGATGGAAACACCAAAGTAACCTGGGCTAAAAACCCCCAGAGGTACCCTTACCACCCAGATAGATTTACCAAATATGATCAAGTGTTGTGCACTGAGGGTTTATCTGGTGCTTGCTACTGGGAGGTTGAATGGAAAGGGCCACGGGTTGAGGTAGCCCTGTGCTATAAAGGAACAGAGCTGGAAGAAAGTGGCTTCGGCTACACCGACCAGTCCTGGTGCATTTCTCTTTCTAGTTCCTGTTGCGCTTTTTGGCACAATGAAGTCAAAACTAGAATACCCGTCCCCTGTTCCTCTACAGTGGGAGTGTATTTGAACCACAAGGGAGGGAGCCTGTCCTTCTACAGCGTGTCTGATTCTGGTCAAATGGTGCTCGTTCACAGAGTTCAGACCACATTCTCCCAGCCTCTGTACCCTGGGTTCATGGTCTGCAGAGGAGCCTCAGTTAGGATAATCACACCAGAGTAAAGGGGCATCAGAAGCACCAGAATTACATCAGGTGTATCAGTACATGTTTATCAGTATTCCCAAAGTACTCTTCAGTATAATAATACAGTCTGTTGACTCTTGCTCATTATAGCTAAAGCGTCCTTGTTTAAACTATTTTTGTTTGTGAGGCTAAAGACATTAGGCTAACATTTACTGAACTGAATTTATTTGGCAAGTGTGTTTGTGCACATGTTACATAAACGTGCACTAATATATTCATAGAGAAAATCCTCTACAGAAATGTCAATGCTGAGAATTCTCAAACCATTATGTGACTGTTTAATTATGTCAATAAAAGTGGAATTCTTCTTCTCAAAAGACTCATTTCTAAGTGTAATCTTGCAAATACAGATCCATAGAACTGCATTTTAAGATGCTATTATTATTATTTTTATGGTGCACGGTGGTTAGCACTGTTGCCTTATAGCAAGAAGATCCCAAGTTTGACTCCACCATCTGGCCAGGACCTTTTTGTGTGGAGTTGTCATGTTCTCTGGGTACTCTTGCTTTCTCCCACAGTCCAAAGACAGGCAATTAGAGGGGTTTAGGTTAATCTGTAATTCTAAATTACCCATAAGGGTGACTGCGAATGGTTGCCTTTCTGGCGACCCGTCCACCTCTCACCATCTGATAGCTGGGATAGGTTCCAGCCTATCCCAGCTACCATAGAGGATTTTATTTGTATATTATTTAACCTCTTAGGACCTGGCGTCCACATATGTGGACATCACATTTGGGTTATTTAGACCAAAATACTCAATTTTGCTTTACTGAGGCTTGATATCCACTTTCGAGGACATTATACTGCTACTGTTCTATCAAAATTTTAAATGAATATGCTCATATGTGGCTCTTATTTTTCTTAAAAACAAAAATAAGGTAAAAAAAAAAAAAATCTTGTAATTCTTTGTTTTTACATTCATTGGGCCGAATATGTCCAAATAACAAAGAGAAACTAAAAATGCATGCCGTGGAAGAATTCAGGTATTAGGAAGTTAATGTTACAAACTCAAAAGTGAAACCAAATTCTGCCAACATAACTCATAAGAACCAAAACAACAAAAAGGAAATAAACTTATTTAATTGCTTTAAAAAAGGTTGTGCAGCTCACTAAACCATGTATATCTACGAGTGTCCTGTGGTTTGGCCAGAATGTGAAGAATAAACTCTAACTTAGCAAATTACTTCTTTCAAAATAGCCAAAAGGAAAGCAGGGGTTGTTTTACTGATCTGTATCTAAATGGCATTTCTTTCTGAAAGAGAAATAGTTTTGAATCTAGGTAAAAGGTCATGACTGCATTTGATGAAAGGCTGAAAGTTTCACACAAATACTTTCACTTCCAGTTAATGCAGTTATTCTTTAAATCGGAATAGCGGGCGTTTATTGTGCTGTCAATGAGGTCTGAGTGCCCTCCTACTAGGAACAAGCTGCCTTTAAGCCACTCCTTCCTCAGAGAAAGAGAAAGTAACTTCTGTTGTGGAGGAAGAAAATGGCTCACGCTGTGGATCTATTTGACTGCTCCGTATGTTTGGGATTATTGGAGGATCCAGT